GTAGAAAGCATCAAGTTCCGAGTCGTCAGCTGCTGATGTTCGCGAGTGGCAGCGATGCAGCGATGGTCTTCTGACGTAGAGATCATAGTCGTATGATGGCTATTCGAGGTGACAGGATCACCTGCGAGTTGAAAAGATAAACGATGAACGTGTGAACGACAAAGCCAACGCCTCCAACTTTTCACCGCGATTGATGAGGATCCCATCACTCATCTGTCGCACGTTCTTCTTGACTTCGTTTCCTGCAAAGCGATGACGCGGTACTCGATGTGCTCTGCAGCATTGAGGAGTGGAGGTTGGCGTTTGCGGAGACTGTCCTGGCATGTAGGTGCACAGCATAGGGTACTCTTCAAGGCAGGCTTGTCGTTTTCGTTTTCGATCCAAAAAACATCCCGTGGACCCTGGCATCGTTCTTGCTACCACCGGGGCCGTAGGCGGGATCCGATGTTTAGAGTTTATTTCTCTTCTTTCTGCTGATCGAGCAAAAAAGGTTTCCTCTGCAAGAGCAGACTTACCAGACCTACTCTTGATTTCCACAGGAAAATCGCTAACCCCTTGTTTGGAGCGGGGCCGCCTAACGACCCGAAAACAAGGCGGCGGAGGATATGGCCTGGTCCACCCTTGGGCGTCCGGCCGAAACCGAACATGTCGTACTTTTTTACAGCTTGAGAGGTTCTACCACAATATACACTCATCTGTGCATCGCAATTCGACGCCCAGTGTCACTCACGTTGAGGCAGCCGACAACTGGGGGGTGGGGGGTCGAACACTTATAGGGATTGGATTGCAGTTAAAGCTCTGTCACAAAAAAAGCTAGTTGATGAGGCTGATCGGTATCCCGACAGGTCTGTATAAACCTCAAGATCGTTTGAATCTGGTCTTGCAAAAATTCACCTTGCAAAACCCGGATCCTTCTTAGACCAAGCTTCTCAATGTCATCGTATGCAAGCGAGGAAGGATTTTTGGAAAGATGAACACATAACACATAGACATCTTCCAGCCGGCTCATTTTGTTGAGAAAACTGTCCTTCAAAACTTTAAAGATTTTTTAAATTGCTTGTAGGGAGCGGAGATTTTGCGAAACGTCTTTCAACTTAGAACGCATGACATAAGGTGATTTGGTCCTAGAACTGCCAGATATCTCTTCATACTCTAAATCCGGAAAGCACTTTAGCGATAAAGATCCGATGTGGCAAATCCAGCGAGAAAACCAAGTTTGACAGCGCTGACTGTCGAAAAAATGGAAGTTTCCATAATGCCTTCATGTTGAGTCGAAAAAATGTCAAAATCTCGTTTTTGTTTAGCAGCGAATTAACTCGAGCAGTCATTTGGCATCTCATTTTTTTGTGTAGCAAACTTTTTTCTCTTGAATCAAATTTTGCAATCTACTGTTGCATTTCTCGCGATTATTCATAAGTCCCGTAGGAGCTCTCCGTTCCATTAGCATCGTAAACGACTTTGTTCATTGACGCTTCATTAGTTTCCTGCATCAATGAGTTGTTGATCTGGGCAACTTGCAAATTGACACCTCCAAAAACATGAAGACGAACATAAATACGCTACGAGCTAAAGAAGCTACTTAATAAGTAGACACATAAACAGTTATTCAGACTTCTAATGCCATCTTTTAACCACAACGATATCATCTTCCCTGTAGACGGACCTCTTGGCAGATGTGGTCCATCACTTCGGGTGCGCTGAGAAAGGGCACATCTTTATGCATCAGACTTTCAATGTTACAGTCTACTCTGGAGTGTCCTCTGTCTGATCCTGATTGGCCGCGATGTTCAGCGCAGCAAATGGTACTGAGAGATCAGCGGCACTGGCTTACCAGACTATGTGCGCTGGTGCCTGACCAGGGTAAAACCGTAATATCACTAAATTACGACTCTTTTGAGATTTTTAGTGGCGTGGCGCACTCTTTTGCATGCAGTGATGACATTCAAGCCCTCGATGCCTCTTCCACCTGTGAAGCTACCTCCGAGGTGTCTAACTCATGCTCATCGAAGGGTTTACCCTCCCGAAACAAATCCCATTGATGGAAAAGGTTACAGCTATGCAAGAGGCTTGACCAGAAGATATAGTTATGAGTAAGCTTGGTTACAAATAAAAGTCTCTTCTTGACCAACGCTTGCTTATTTGCAGAGCTAGTGATGCTGTTTCGGGGCTCAATCGTGGAACAGAATGGTATGAAATTCGGGTTATCTTTGTAAACTACTTAAATTCTAGTAAGTATAGCCGGTCGCCACGAACCACCACTATTGGAGGACGTCGTTATGTCAGAGAAGTGCACAGACGTTATGAAACTGAGTAAGTTGCAGGCTTGACGAGCAAGGCATGCGTGCTTGGTTGCACATCGGTAAAAGAACGAGAATGTAGCCGTTAGTATGTCCTATTTTCGACATTAGAGCGGTGCTTTCTCAGCTTTTATCATTTCCTCCCCTCATATTGCAGTGCAGCAGCAGATACACTGCAAGCAAAGAGAATTGCTCCTATCATGACTTCATTGCAGCCAAGCACCGAGCACTTACCGTCAACACGAATCACGGCTTCTCGGATCCGGCGACAGTGACAAGCGCTTGGACGATTTTCTGCCTGAGTATCTGCGACCACCGAAAGATCCTTTCGAAGTGAGCCACTCGGACGTAAGAAGAGTAACAGTCAGAGACCATATGCAGAGAGTTACATATAGTATATTGGAGCTCGATGGGAGATGTCAATCTCTGAACTAACTCGATGTTGCTTATGCTCTTTAAAAAACTTTGTAATATAGATATCACAAATTTGCTCATGAAAGGATCTGAACTACCCTCTTGTGCTATAGGCCACACACAAACAAATTCATTTGATCATTAAAATGGTGATGTTACTCCAGCGAGGCGAAAGTTCAACTTCTCTTTGAAAGCATTTTATAAATAAGGATAGCTGCGAAAACGGAATACTGACTTAAGCTTTATACCTCACTACAAATGGTTACCTCGACTAAAAGCGTATTTCTTTCATCCTACTCCTCTATACAATTTTAGGAGGAGCCTCGATTTGCCGACTCAGCGACATTGCCGAACTACCTGGGAAACCCGAATTCTATCTATCGTCTTCGCCCTCACAAAAGTGGCTCTTTTGGTAGCTCAGAAAATTCAACGGGATCAAGTTCGTCGTCTAACCGTTACAACGGATACTTCAAAAGTTCTGCTACTTCTACAGAAAAAGCTACGGATACTGAAAAAACAACTAAAACTGCAGAAGAAAAGGTGTGTAGCTAACGTGCCTAGTTCCACGCGCCAATTACGCACGTGTCAATGAAGGATAAGGCAAATTTTAGATAAGCAAATCAAAAACCACTTCTGATGAGCAAACGTTAGACCCACTAAACCCAGTATACTCAACGGAATACGTTGGATACTCTGCTACTTCAGATGTGAGGTGAACCAAAAAGTCCTTGATCAGAAACAAATGAGACTTTTAGTGGCCAGCTGAAGTGGAATTAACAAATGAAGAAAAATGTGCAATAAAGTTGTCACAGATTTTCGGTTGGAGAAAGGCAAGAACAATTTTT